ATACAATTGCTAATATTTGATGGGATGGAAACCAGCAATAAATAGATCATATATAAGAACAGACAATATATACATGATACATATACATATACACACGCACGAATACCCATGTACACACCTGTCCATATACATATATATACATACATATATACCCACACATACACACATATATACACATATACATACATATACACATACATACATACACACATACATACATATACACATACACACACATATACATATTTGCACATACATACATACATATATACCTACATGCCACTCATACTCAATATGTCTTAGGTAAATTAACAGAGAAGACATAAGAGGGGTAATGCTAAGGGAGTAGAGATTTAATCTTTTCAGCTGCACTTAATAATATTTGAATGGATTTGGTTTTTGCTTTTTGTGCTCTGGCACTTGAAGCTTCTACCCTCAGTGTCTCATAGAAGGACAGTTTCCAGCGATAAGTACTGAGATTATGGGGAGGTTTCCATCTTACCACCAATATTTTCTTTGCGGCTGTCAATCCGGCCAAAAGGATCCTCTTCTCATGGGGACTTAATCCCAGCGAAGAGTCATCGTTTAACACTAATATGTGGGGCAAACATGGTATTTGTTTTCCAATAATTTCAGTTAAAAAGGTTGCAACACTCGACCAAAAGGCCAGTACTCCTGAGCATTCCCATATCATGTGTACATAGGTTCCAATCGGTTTTGACGGACAAAGTTGGCATAAGGGACTTTGTAGGATCTTAATTTGGCAGAGTTTCCTGGGAGATAGATAATATCGTTGTATCATTTTGTAATGAATCAATTGATAATTGTAATTACGGGAGGATATCGGAATGTTATTCCAGATATTCTGCCAGTTTATGTGTACATTATGTTTCTTTAAATCAACATTCCAGACAGAGATGTTACCTGTCGTAATATTTAACTTTTCTTGTATTTTATTATATAGCCCGGAAACAAAGCCGCTTTTCACATTTATGCCTTTCAATAATTGCAATAGGGGATGAACTGGTAGTGGCTGGTTCCAGGGAACACCATAAGTACGCATTGCAGTGCGTAGCTGTAAATAAAAGAAGAAGGATGTACCAGGGAGATTAAAGGATTGTTTAAGTTCTTGGAATGCTCTGAGTCCTTGTTCATTATATATATCTGATAGTTTATGTATTCCCTGTCTTTGCCAACTGGGACATGTTATTGGTTTACCTCCCAGCAGTAAATAGTTGTTACTAAAGATAGGGGAGTCTAAATGCCATCTTGTTTCCCACTCACCCATTTCTGCTACATGTTTCCAGATATTGATTGAATGTGCTATAATTGGGCCAAATTGAGCACGACAGAAGCTCGGGGAGAGATTAGAGAAAAGAATATCTTGAAAGGAAAAGGGGAGTATACAGTGTTTTTCTATATTCACCCATGGTACACTGACATCCTGATCAAACCATCTTAGCAAGGGCCTAAGCATGAATGAGAGATAATACCTTTCAAAATTGGGGAGGGATAACCCACCAGCTTGTCTACTATTTTGAAGTGTGGGGTTACTAATCCGTGGGTGTTGACCCTGCCAGATAAATTTATGCACCAGACTCTGTAGTTTCCCCCATACCCCTGGGGGTGAGGGCAGATGAATCATACTGACCAGAAAATTTATTTTAGGGAGAATATGGGTTTTTATTACAGAAATTCTAGCAGAGAAGGAAATTAGTAATTGTGACCATCGGTGCAGTTCATCCTTGATAACTTTTTTAAGATTCTGATAATTTTTAGATATAATTTTATCAATAGATGAATATATGTCAATTCCTAAATAACGGAAGTGTGAGTCAGATGGTATAATATTCTCTAATTGAGGGCTGTTTATTGTGTCTAAAGGGAGTAGAATTGATTTGTTCAAATTTATTTTATAACCTGAAATAAAGCTGAATTGTTCAATAGTGCTAAGAGCTGCAGGTAGAGACTGTTGGACATTGTCAAAAAATAATAAAACGTCATCAGCATACAGAGATATTTTATGAAACGTATTATTTAAAATTATGGGTTTTATTTCTTGACAGTTTCTGATTTTATGGGCTAGTGGCTCGAGAGATATAGCAAATAATAGTGCAGAGGCTGGGCAGCCTTGCCTAACACTACGTCCTATGGAGAAGGGTGATGAACAATGATTAGAAGTAATGACCATGGCCGATGGATTATGGTACAGAGTTTTAAGCATATTTATGAATTTATCACCAAAATCCATGTTTTTCATCGTATACCACAGATAGGCCCATTCCAACCTGTCGAAAGCTTTTTCGGCATCGAGAGACAGCACTGCACATGATGATGTTGTGGGGGTTTTGTCAATAATATGTAATAATCGTCTTATGTTATCTGAGGCAAATCTTTGCTTGACAAAACCGACTTGATCAGGATGTACCAAAAATGACAGTACTGTCTCTAGACGTCGAGCAAGCACCTTAGCATATAATTTTATATCTGCATTAAGCAGCGATAATGGGCGATAATTGGCACAAATGGTCCTGTCCTTTCCCTTTTTCTGCAGGAGTGTAATTGTGGCAATGCTTATATCTTTATTAAAACTTCCTTTATTAGTAGCTTGTTGGAACATCTCCAATAACAGAGGACCCAATTCTTCCCAAAAGGTCAAGTAGAACTCCGGTGGTATTCCGTCAAAACCTGGCGATTTCCCTTGTTTCATTTCTTTAAGTGCATCATATATTTCAACAAGGGTAATGGGAGAATCCAAGGTAGCTGTTTGTTGTTCAGTTAATTTGGGGAGATTTAGATCAGCAAAAAAGGAGTCCAAATCGACATTAGAAAATTGTGCTTCAGAAGCGTAAAGTTGTTGATAAAAGTTTCTAAATTCAAGATTTATTTCGACAGGGTTGGTGACTATTACTCCATCCTTATTCTGTATTGATGTGATGTCTGATTTTTGTTCATCATTCTGTATTTTTCTAGTCAGAAGAAAACTTGGATTATTCCCACTCAGGTATTCCGTTTGTCTTACTCTGTGTACTAGGAATTCTGTATTTTGTGTCAGTAAGGCATTTAGCTCAGACTTCACCTTGGACAGTTCCCTCTCCCTCTCTGGGTTGAAATTAAGCTGTTGTTCGGCAGTTAAGAGTGAAAGATTATTTTCTAATCTCGAGATTTCTCGGTTGTGAGCTTTATTGTGAGCAGAGGCAAATGATATTGTATTATTGCGTATAAACCCTTTAGTTGCGTCCCATAAGAATCTTACATCGGTAACACTGTTCTTATTGATGTTGATAAAAGAACTGTATTCAGATCTAAATTGCTCAAGGAATGATGAATCGTGCAGTAAAGTCAAGTTAAATTTCCATCTTGTAGCCCGTTTTTGGCAGTTTCGGAAAATAAATGTACAAAAATTTGCGTGATGGTCTGATAGAGACATATTGTTAATTTGTACCTTTTTAATATCACAAGAAATATTAGCAGATATTAGTATAAAATCAATTCTCGAAAATGTTTTGTGTCTGTGGGAGAAAAATGTATATTGTTTTTGGTTTGGATTATGTCTTCTCCAGACATCTATTAGTGCGTGATTAGAGATCAAATTATTAAGAGCTGTAGTTGCTGAGCTACCAGTGAAGGGGGCGGACTTGTCCAATTCAGGTGATAAGACTGCATTCATGTCCGCGCCTAGAATGACTGCACAATCTGAATGATCTTGTAAAATTTTTGTTAGTTGAGCAAAAAAAACATGATCATAGCTATTGGGAGCATATGCTGAAAGTAACAAAACTTCTTTATCATTGAGAAGGATTTTGGCAAACGTGATTCTACCGGCTAGATCGTTTCCTTTTTTAATAATATTATAGTTTAATTTTTTAGAAATTAATATTAGCACTCCCTTAGTTTTGTTGGTAGCAGATGATGAGGATATAATCAGGTATTTATTATTCTCTAATTTGTCAACATCTTGGGAAATTATGTGTGTTTCTTGGAATAAAGCTATGTCAATCCTATTTCTATCAAGATATTGCAAGCAGCTATTGTATTTGACGTTGTTGTTCAATCCCTGAGCATTCCAAGATAGTACATTTACTTTTGCCATACTGAATTCTCTAGTTTCTTTTTATTTTCGTTATTAGCCCTTCTAGATATATTAATACAAGGGGTTTCCATTTCCATTATAGCACTGCAAGAATAAGGATACAAAAAAAAAGAAACTGTACAGTACAGTGCATCGAAAAAAGAACATATACAAGTTTGATAAAGTCCCTTCCTGGTCTGGTGGAAACCCAAAACCCACCCCCCTCCCCCCGCCCCACCCACCCGAAGATGGTCCCATGGACAGGACATATTAGTGTTCTGGGGCCCCAGAACCATCTTCAAACTTCCAATACTCTGCCTAATGCAGGGTTGTGACATGTTGATAGGTCAAACAGCTCCCTCTAATTGGGCTCCCTATAGAAGGGGAGACATTTCGTTTTCTCTGTCCTAGTCCCTCTCTCTTAACTTAAAACAAGCTGGATAGATATACTTAACTAATAACAATATCATTTACCTTGGTATTATTGATAAAGGACTTCGCTCGCAGCAGTGATAAAACCGGTAAGTATGGTAGTTAGAATTCTAATGCGGTTCATCACTGTTGCATAATAATAATAATAATAATAATAATAATAATAATAATGAAATAAAGTAAAAATAATGTATCCACATACACCCATATACGTGTACATCCGTATATACAGACACACACACTCGCCCCTAGATCTATACACATATACCTATACAAACACACATACCACCATAAGAATATGTTAGCAGTATAGTAATACAAAGAAAGAAACAAAGAAAGTACTGTTATTAAAACAACACAAAATAAGGTGGATGCATGAAAGGAAAAAAAAAATATATATATATATATATAGAAGAGAGAGGGAGAGAGAGAAGGGGGAGAGAACGTGTAGCTTTGTGAACCTGAGTTTAGTATTCAGTTTGGGGCAAATGCAGTCCTAATCTTGGATGGGAGACATGGAATTCTCTTCAGCAGCAGCACCGCCCGGTGAGTGTGAAGCATCCGTGACGAGTGTGGGCTTGATCCGAGTTGTGTAGAAGTCCATCGCCTTAGCTGGATCTGTAAAGGAGTGAGTTTTTCCTTGGAAGGTAATAAGCATTTTAGCCGGGAAGGCCACTCCATAGCGTAGGTTGGTCCCACGTAGGAGAGATCTGAGCTCTTCAAAGGAAGACTGCATCTTGCGCTGCTCCACTGTGATATCCCGGACAATGTTAATCTTGTGTCCTTTGTACTGCAACCGACCTGTTGCCTTAGCCCTTTCTCCAGTGAGCCTAACAACTTTCTGCCTTATGTCGGAGTTGTTTAATTTGGCGATTAGGCAGCGCGGCTTGTCTCTGTTAACAGTGCCGATGCGATGGGCTATATTCACGTAAGGAGGGGGTCCAATATCATGACCAAACAGGTCGGACAGCATTTCATTTATAAAAGCAGTCGGGTTTCCCATCTCGATCTGCTCAGGTAGATTATAAACTTTAATGTTCAGTTTCCTACTGTAATTTTCCAAAGAATCAGTCTTCCGCCTCAACGATACAACTTCATCAGCAAGTGATTTGTTTACCTGCTCGAGTTTAATCAGTCTCAAGTCCGTTTCGTTAGCAGCAGCCTCGAGGGATGCAATTTTTTCGACGCACGACATGATGCTTTCCTGGATCTTTTTCATGTCGTCCTTTATCGGCTTCAGATGAGTTTCAAGTCCGGCCGAGATTTCATCTCGTACTGAAGATTTTATCAGCGCGACTAGCTCGGCGTTTGCCATTACAAAGTTTGTTTTGGACCGGCTGGCTCTGTTAGCTCCAGACATGTGCCGCACAAGCCGAGAGAAGTTATTGCGTATACCGTGAACGCAGCTTCTGTTCTTTACAGCCGATATGAAGACGAACAATATAGTAGGTAAACTGAGAAAAGCTTTGTAATCCTCAGGTTCGGGAAAAAGGAATAAAAAGAGGTTCTAGCTGCGACCAAACGCGTCTGCGTTCAGTCCATGCCACCGGAAGTCATCTGTTTGGGCTGATCTGAGTAAGATTGATTATTGATGGTTAAGCTGGTGGCCTGAGTCTGAATCTGGGCTACCCCTCGGTGGCTCAATCTTCCCCCTCCCACAGTCTTAAAACATTTAGATTAGCCAAGGTGGAAATTCCAGGTAGCCTGTAGGTGTGACTGTGGTTCTCGTTTTTGTGTGTTTGCACTGAAGTAGACTAGTGACCTTTCTCTTCTTGTAGACCCGTCTAATTGTCAAAGATTAGAGATAGATATAACCTCAAAACATTTACAGGACACAGATGGATGGATGAGAGGATAAGCTTTTGTCAGCAAGGTCAGTGGCGCACAAACATATGGAGGGAACAGAGCAATCACCATTTGCATTTAAAAAAAACATTTGTTTTGATGCTGTTTTTATTGAAGTGTTTCTCATTTTAAAAAAAGAGAGATGGATTGAATCAACATGAATGAGTTCTTTAAAGCTTCAAATATCAGCACTCAGTGTTTGCTCATATTTTCAATTTTTTTCCTAGTACTTTAGAACCAGATTGAATGCGTGCCAGGCATAAATGACAGTGTGCGCTCAGATTTGTTTGTTTGTTTTAAACAAAGAGCAGACGACAATTTAAAGGACAACAGGGTGAGCAGATGGTGGAAGCATTATTACCCTACATGTGAATCGCAGCGCAGAGTTGATTGTCCGGTGGCAGTTCTGAGGCTTTGTTTGACCACTCCAACACATTGTAAAGTGGGTACATCAGACGGCAGAGCTGGGGGAAAATAAGTGACGTATAAAGATTTGAAACCGCCAGAGGAACGACATTTATTGGGCAAGGATGATAGGCACATAAACATAGCGCAGTTTGGGGTACAAATCTGAGTATTTTAGTGTCCTATGGCGGGATCATGTTTATGTTGCCTGTCAAGAGAATTAGATGTAAATAATTTAAAACATATATCCTTAAAAAAAAACCACATTATAAATTTTTTAACGTTTCTGTCATAAATATCCTCTGCTTGTTGGTTTCTTCTCCCTCTGTGTGTGCTGACGTAGAAAATACGATTTGCATTCAGCTTCCATGGAAGTGAACATCCAGCCCTGTAAATCAAATCGGCTGGCTTATGAAGGAGAGGCAACAACAATTTTGAGAGCAATATGCAATATTCATTGTTCATAAATAATTAATTTGTTTGCTCACAACTCAGCCTAAAGTGATTGTGGCCCTTTTTCATTTGGGTGTATATCCGTGGCACACTCTGTTCTGCTGAATGGAGTGGTATTTGTATTTCATTCACACACAACACTTTACCAACACTCCACTGCTCTCTGCTTTTCCCACTGACCCGGCTATGGTTCCAGGAGATAACTAGGATTCACAATCAAGCTTTAGCACTGATTCAGGCTGATGGTCTGCTGCAGATAAAGAAAATACACCTACTTGGATGTTGTTTCTCTCATTTAACAACCAGTGATCCTAATGTTTGTAGAATTAAACGGGTACGGTTATTCCTAATAGTCCTAATATTCCTAAGGTTGTTTTTTGGTACAATTTAGCGCTAATCCCAGGCCAGCTAGGATGCTAACCAACACTTAAAGTTTACTTTAAGATAAGGATGTCCTCTTCATCACTCTTTACCCCCAATTTTCTGTGAATTTAGTAATGCAATTTTGGGGTGTTTGTATTAGCATTAAACGGGTACAGTTATTGCTAATAGCCTGTCCTGTGCTAAAAGAATACAATTTAGCGCTAATCCCAGGCTAGCTAAAATGCTAACCAATACTTAAAAGTTTACTTTTAAATGCGGATTTCCTCTTCGTCACTCTTTACCCACAATTAGCAGTGATGTTAGTAATGTAATTAGGTAATATTTGTATTAGCATTAAACAGGTACAGTTTTTGCTAATAGCCCGTCCTGTGCCAAAGATTGGTTTTTAGTACAATTTAGCGCTAATCCTAGGCTAGCTAAGATGCTCACCAGTACTTAAAGTTTACTTTAAGATAAGGATATCCTTTCTGTCACTTTTTACCAACAATTTGCAGCGAAGTCAGTAATGAATTTAAGGTTTTATTTGTATTAGCATTAGAGTTATTGCTAATAGTCTGTCCTGTGCCAAAAGGTTTGTTTTTGGTACAATTTAGCGCTAATCCCATGCCAGCTAAAATGCTAACCAATACTTAAAATTAACTTTTACATAAGGCGTTCTTCTCCGTCACTCTTTACCTACATTTTTCACTTAAGTTAGTAGTGTAATTAAGTTGTGTTTGTATTTGCAATAACAGGTACAGTTATTGCTAATAGCCCATCCTGTGCCAAATTTTGGTTTTTGGTACAATTTAGTGCTTATTCCACGCCAGCTAAGATGCTAACCAATACTTAAAGTTAACCCCTAAAAAAGGATATCCTTTTCCCCACTGTTTACCTACAATTTTTAGTGAAGTTAGTAATGTAATTTAGTGGTATTTGTATAATCATTAAACAGGTACAGTTATTGCTAATCGCCCATCCTGTGCCAAACTTGTTTTTTGGTACAATTAAGCGCTAATCCCAGGCCAGCTAGGATGCTAACCAATACTTAAAGTTTACTTTTAAATGAGGATTTCCTCTCAGTCACTCTTTACCAACAATTTTCAGTGAAGTCAGTAATGTAATTTACTGTCCGTCGAGTGCAATGTGTACCCTGTAATGAATGTACCCAGAATGAGACCTGTTCTGAAGATTTATTTTCCTCTTCTCTGCCTCGGTGCAGCTAAGGACACAGAGGCCAACATGGGCTTCACTTTACCTTCTTTACAGAGAGATAATTACACTCTCAGACACTGAGACAAGTAGTGCTGCATACTAAACCGAGAATCACTATGCAGTCCAAGAGGTTAAAATTGGGAAACTGTTTGTACTCGCTTAGATCATGGCATTTGTGATTAACGCAGCACTGGGAATACACTGCAGAGCTGTAATACTACAAGATAAAAACAACACTGTTTCAGCTCTTTCAAGGACTTTTTCTCTTCGAAAAAAGCAGCTTTGATGTTATCAGAAAATGTGTTAATTTCACACTGACACAAGAGGCTGTTGGTGCTAAATGGTAGACTGCTTTGATTGATCACAAAATCAGGAGGTTGATAGTTCGTCCCAGGATCCCAGAGTCCAAATGTTGTACCTTTGCAAGACTTCTTACCTCTAATGCCCCTGAAGAACGGTGGCAGGTGTGTATGAATGAATGAAAAGACAAATGTAAGCAAAGTATTCTTATGTTTACTTTGAATAGTAAGTCTGATTTAGAAATACCTTTCTCGACATGACGTCACATGCAAACTTTTTTCTGGCGGAGGGGTTTTGCGGTGTTTACAAAATAGATGGAAATTCATTTTGATGCTTTTTTATGATATACAAATGCAAACGAGACCATCAGAAACAAGATCGACAATTCTTGTATTCTGTTTTTAATGCCTTAAACCAGTGCTGGTAGGGTAGGAGTTAGCTGAAGAAACTGCCCTGTTCTTACAATTTGAATGGGAAAAATTCACATTAACTTTTAGCAGTTAGAAATATAAATTGGTTTTAAGTCATTGACCTGATATATGTAGTTAGATTACATTACTTACCTGCTTGTAAATGTTAGACAACCGTGTCGCCATTATCTTATTCTTCAGTGGAATTAAGTTACTTTTGAATGTAAGTAAAAATAAGATGTTATTATTTGCAAATCACTGAAACCCTGATTTAATTCAGAGAAGAGAAATCACATCAGACGTTAAAACTGAGAAATTAAATTGTTTGGGAAGATAATTTGCCTTTTTGAGTTGAGGGTTTCAACAGCCCAGGGTGTCCTTTGTCAAGTTTTATGTTTGATAATGGGCCAAACATTTTTCACAGTTGACCAGGTGGGACTGCAGGCAGGCAGGCTGGCTGGCATAACACGTAAACACTTTTACTTAGACGCCATGCTGTTGTAACACAGCAGATTGTTGTTTGGCATTGTCTTTCTGAAATAAACAAGTCATTCCCTGAAAACAAAGTCATTATTCAGCATGGTGCCCTCCCAGATGTGTAAGCCAACTGTGCCATTGGAGCTTATCCATCCCCACTGTCACAGATGGTAGCTTTGAACTCTGTGTTGACACCAAGCAGAGTGGGTGTCCATGATTTCCAAACAGAATGTCAAATTTGGCTCATCAGACCGCGGGAGGGTTTTCCTTTTGACTCAGTTCACCGTGAATGAACTCTCGAGCAATTTGGAGTTCAATGTCTTTTCCAAGGACAGTCTGACATGTGACTGCAGGAGCCGGGATCAACCCACCGACCTAATGATTGGAAAATGACTGACCCTCCCACTGAGCCACAGCCACCCCATTTCATGTTCCTATGCCCATGATTTCCACTACAGAAATGAGTCTGATTTCAACGGCACTCGTCTGAAGCCTGGAGATCAAAACCAATCCAATTTCCATTCTCGCCTTGTTCCTTTTGTTCACGGGTTTCTTCAGATTCTCTTCATCTTTTAATCGTTTTTGTTGTGTGAACAATTTTTGGAGTTTGAAGAAACATCATTCTCACATTGTTTCACTGTTTCCCATCACAGTCTGTCACAGAGTGCTGACCCCCTTGCCCATCTTTACTCATGACACACTCAGCCTCTCTGGGATGCTGTTTCTGTACTCAGTGATGTTGCCAGTTACCTAGTCGATTGTGAGATGTTCCACCAAGGCTTTTCTTTGAGCATTTCACAACTCTTCTGGCACTTTCTTGCTCCTGTTCCAGCTTTACTGAAATGTGTTGCTGGGATTAGATTCAAAGTAGGTGTATGACTTTTTTATTTCC